CCTTAATTCATGCATTTATTCATTCAACAATTACCAAAGCTTAACATGGTGAGCATTATTCAGAGTCATAGAAAGCATAAAATATCATTCAAAATAAGTATGTGCAGTAATAAGATTGCTAAAATCTAGCATGTAAGTGTGGAAAATAGAGAACTGACTGTTAAGTTTCTTCTTTGCAGAGAATGTGACATTTTGATTGGGTCTGAATAGATGAGCAGGGCACTGCAGGCGTGAGACGAATAAGGAGCACAAGTACAGTACAAAGAAGTAAGCAAGTACCGAGCACAAGAGCACGATGTAAGAGAGAATGGGGCGTGTGATCAAGACAGCCGCCAGTTCAAGAGGAGACTCTCAAGTGTGCAGAGAGGGCAGAAAATGAGACTTGGGAGGCAGAGGTTAGGGAAGATTGGGCTCAGTCTGTTAGGCCAAATAATTTATCCTCTAGGAAACACATAGTTAATTCTGCTCTTTGAGCAAGGGGCGCAATCTGGTTTTTTAGGAAGATAATTTTTCATTATTATTACATTTTTATTTATTTATTTATTTATTTATTTTATATGTGTGTATATGAATCTGTACAGGCATGTGCCATGACATGTCTGTAAAGGTCAGAGGACAACTGCAGGAGTCGGTTCTCTACTTCTACCATGTGGATCCCAGGGGATTCAACTCAGATAGTCAGGCTTGGTGGCAAGCACCTTCACCTGCCCAGCCATCTCACCAGGTAAGAAGATAATCCTTGACAGCAAATGCATACGACATGGTAAACTGGATGAGGGACAGGACAGGGGCAATTTCTGAAGATCCACTCAGGAAAGATAATGACCAAATTCAGGGACAAATGAAGAAAAGTACTGAAAGCAATTCAGAAGTTATTTCAAAAGCTGGTGGACCTGAGTGCAAAGGAGAGGGAGCATGTGACTTCGAGATATCAGAGTTGGGATACTGGTAGATAATACCACCACTTCATGGATGTAGGAGATACAGAAGGAAGACGAGTCTTAGGGGGAGCATCACAAGTTCAGTTAGCAGCTTGGACTTCCATGTGAAAATATCCAAAGTATAGATCTGAGCCAGGCATGGTAGCTCAAGCCTGTAATCCCAGCACTCAGAATGCCAACGTAGAAGGATCAGCAAGTTGAAAGCCAGCCTGAGCTACATGAAGACTACCTGGAAAATAAAGTATAGCTCTAGAATGGGTCTAGAAACCATGTGACAAGAGAGAGGTTCCTCAGACTTGTGTTTTCTCAGAATGAGCTGAGGGCTTCTACCTCTGAGCTTCCAAGTTAGTCTGGAGAATCTGCAGAGCCAACAAGATCCCAGGTAATACTGCTAGACTGGGGACTGTATTTTGAAGTTTCTGACATAATATCATTAATAAAGAGAGTAAAGACAGAGAATTAATTGATGATGATCAGCAGCTTTGAAGACTACACACACTCCGGCAGCAGGGGAAAGCAGGAGCCAGTGGAGGGATGGGAAAAAGAATTTTCAGAGAATGGGATGTGAATGGAGAGCCTGGGAAACCGGAACACTGATTAGCATCAAACAGCTGAGTGGGAGGAAGACTGAAAACAGGTAATTGTATGAAGCAATGAGGTCATAACACAGCTATGTTGGGCAGAAGGGGCAGAAAACTGAGAAAGAACAGTCTGCACTTGGGAAAGAACCACTGTAAGAAGATTTAGGGTAAAGCCCTCAGTGTGCTGGTGGGCCAAAGGGGAAAAGACAGGAAGATTTACAGTAACTCAGAGTAAGGATCTCAGGGAACAGTGATGAAATAGCGCCCAGGCTGCAGGGTCAGTCATGGACAAAAGAGACAGCTCTTGCTCTGATACAGTGAAAGAAGATAAAATGGACACTGTTCAAGATGAAACAGAAGAAAAGAGAAAGGAAAGAGTAACATGCGGGGTGACATGGCACCTGAAACCCCTGTCTTCTCTGCAGGCTTGCACTTCAGAAACCCCAAAAGGAACTTCTTCAAGTGGAGGGGGAAACATGACATTCAGATGGAAATATGCATCTACACCGAGAAGGAGCTGGAAATGTCATTTACACGAGAACACATAGAAGATACCACCTTATCATGTTTAATCCCTTTTAAAATAACAGTTTAGAGGCTGGAGAGATAGCTCAGGGGTTAAGAGTACTTGCTGCTCTTGCAAAGGACCCAGGCTCGGTTCCTAGGACCCACATGGTAGCTAAGAACTGTCTGTAATGTAATGTATGACAGAACAAAAAAGAAACAGGAATGGCAATTCAAGTATGTTAATACAAGCCTCTGATATGGTATATTATTGTTTGAAAATAAACTGTGAGTTGGGGGATAAAACTCAGTGATAGAGTGCTTGCCTAGCATACAAGAGGCCTAGTTCAACCACTCAGTATTGCTGAGGAATAAATAGATAAATAATCTATAACTCCTAGGTCATTGGTTCCTCAAGCATGGTTTGGGGCCTGAAGGAAGGGTAGATACGGAAATTCAAATACTTAGGCATCAAGAGTACCATAGAGAGACCCACAGACAGTGTTAGTATGATAAAGACTTAAAATATCCTACTGTCAAGTATTCTGTTAACTGGAGGCTGGAGAGATGGCCCAGTGGTTAGAAACACTTGGGGTTCTTCCAGAGGACCCAGGTTCAAGTCCCAGCACCCACATGGCAGCTAAGAACTGTCTGTAACTCTAGTTCCAGGAGATCTGACATCCTCTTCTGGCCTCTCTCTGCAGGCATTGCATGAATGTGGTGTACTTAACATATGTACAGGCAAAATTAAAATGATAAAATATTTTTAAAAATGAATTTTGTTAACCCAATGCTTACCAAATATAACTGACCACAGAACTCACTTCTCAAGCAGTACATATTAGTATCTCACAAAACAAGTGTGACCATTTGCCGGGTATGATGGCACATGCCTTTAATCCCAGCACTCGGGAGGCAGAGGCAGGCAAATATTTGTGAGGCCAGCCTGGTCTACATAGTGAGTTCCAGGACAGCTGGGGCTACAGGAGACCCTGTCTCAAAAAGACAAAAAAAAAGTGTGACCACCAATAGAAAATGCTGTTATTTCTAAAGCATGGAAATGGTAAAAGACATCTCGGTCACATCAACACAGAAATGCTCTGCTTTGAACAGCTATACATTCATGTGTCTAATAAATCTGATAAAGTGATAGTATATTTTGAAAGATAAGACTACAGGTTTTGGAATTAAGCAGATCTAGCTTTAAATCTTGATGTAGCATCATTTACTAGAAATTATATCTTAGATTATACTTACATGAAGATTAAATTACTTAACATAAGGTGAGCTCATCGTGATAATGAATTAAGAGATTTGCTTTCTGACATACAGAAAAGGATTTTAGCAACACAGTGTCCTGGCTCAGACTTCCAAGAAGAGCACTTCGTGATAATCTTGAGTGGTTTCTTATGTAAGATGATAACTCAGATCTCATGAAAGTCTTAGTAATAAAGAGCTGTCTCTATTTACGATAAATTCTTCCCTAAAATGTTATTCAATACAGCTCAAACAATCAGTACTAGATAATACTTATGCTAATGAAATTGTCAAGTAATATTCACTGAAGAGAATATGAACAGGTGTAAGGAAAAGCATAGTGATTTGGAGTAGTGAAAACTGGAATCTATGTAAGGGCAATACAAGACTCTAGTAAGAATAATAGCAATACTTCGTAGTCTCTTCAGGATCACTGAGTCTAACAGTATATCAAAGGTTTTGAAAGAAAATGGAATTCAGATTCGACTTGACACACAGGAGAACCCCATCAAGAAGTTCATCTTACGATTCAAAGGATACAAACAATGATTTTAGTGACAGTTTACATTGAGCAGGCAGAGACTCGGGAAGGCTACTTTATTTCCTGAATGGATGGCCTGAGTCTGGCATTGGACTACAATAATGAGACATGCTGCTATACACATAGATGAACAAGAGAATCATGTCAAAGGGCAAATGGACGATGTTTGGTCATTTTCAAGTCTTGCAGCCAAGTTGCCTCAGATGGTTCCTTGATTTTAGGATGGGCAAAGGGGAGAAGTGTGGCACCAGATAACTGGGAGAGAAACTTCTAAGGGAAACTTGTCAGTGACATTCTTAAGGTAGACAAAAATTACAATGCTAGTAAAAATTTTAGCTTAAAATTTTAGTTTTAAAGACCTTGCACAGTATTTTTATGTAAACATTTTTAAAGTAATTTATATTAAATGTGTCCAGGTAGAATTTTTTGAGACATAGTCTCCCTATAGCACCAGCTGGCCTGGAACTTACTATAGACCAGGCTGGCCTTAAATTCACAGAGCTCTGCCTGCCTCTGCCTCCCAAGTGCTGGGATTAAAGGTAGAGAATTATTTTTTTAATTATGTTGGTCTATGTTATAGCAAAATCAAACTTGATGACAGCCACTCTCCAAACCAGTAGAGTTGGATTAAAATTGTCTTATGTGTAATTCATATGAAATCCCTGCAACTATATTAATGTAACTCTTTAATATACTGTAAGTATGTAATATAAGGATAAAAATTCCCATTTTATAGGCAAGAAAAGATGAGGCCAATTTTGAAGGGAACAACAGCAGATTTTAATGAACTGAACTGACTTAGGCAATGATCATATCCAGCTAATTCTGCTTTTTTCTAAGACAATTGACAAAAGCAGTGTAACAATAGGCAATAAGCCACAAGTTGAAGACAACTCAGACCCAAATCCTCACACTTTGGTGTTAGCTTTAAAAGTCAGGTATGTCTGACTATTAAACCGTCTCATAAAATTATTATGAAACAGTTATTTCCAAAAGAGTGTTCTACAATGCTGAGACCATGGAAGGTAGTATCCACTCTGCCTTACATCCTAGGCTGAAGAGAGAAATGGATAGAACAGGAAGATATGCCTCTTGAAATCTGAGTCCTAAGTCCCTGGGAGTCCGAGCAGATATGAAGATGAGATATTATCATGAAACAGTGCATCTAAGTCTTACCATTAATAACTGGCGTGTAAACAACAATCCCAACCAAGTTTGGGTCAGATACAGTTGTGTCCAGAATAAGGCCCCCAATGCTGAAAGAAAGAAAACCACATATCATGGAAAAGGAACAAGAAAGGATTTCAAGTTGTTCTGTACATTCAGACACTCTTACTTCGTAAAGTGAAATGTTTAGACAATTTAAAACTCGGGTAAAAAGAATATTCAAGATAAAAATCAATGTTGCTAGTAAAAAGTTGGAAATAAAACATGGTTATGCGGACAGGGAATGTGGCTTGGTGGGTAAAACACTTGCTGCACGGCATGAGGACCTAAGTTAGGGGCCCACAAAAAGAGACGAGTGTGGCAAGGCGCACTAAGCTCTGAGCTATAAGGTGGAGAAAGGATCTTAAGGGCTCACTAGCCAGCTAGTCTAGCCCATCAGTGAACTAGTTCAGAGAGAGCCCTGTCTCAAAAAAAATAAGGTGGAAGAAATTAAATAAAAAATAAAGTGTAGAGCACAGAGGAAAACACTCAAGACACCTGAGGTTGACCTCTGGCCGTCACAGGTCACAGGTGCACTCATGGGCGCGCACGCGCGCGCGCACACACACACACACACACACACACAAACCAATAAAAAAAACAAATAAATAAATAACGTGACCATGGGATAAACTGTGTGCTTTTAGTTTTAGTACATATTTATTTACTTAGAATGGTTTTGGCTTGTTTGGGGACAGGGTCTCACTATGTACCTTAGGCTGGCCCTAGATTCATAGCAATCTTCCTGCCTTAGCTTCCCAAGTGCTAGGATTATAAATGTGTGTCACCATTTCCAACTTACACATATGTTAAATGCATTAAACCATCTGTTCTTATAAGGATTTGTTAACTATATGTAGGGTTTGAAAGGATGGGATTGATGGTCATTTTATAGTCTTCACTGGCTGTTTTTTTAACCATATCATCTATTACTCTTTTAATTTGAAAAAAAAAATTTGAGACAAGGTCTCCCTGTAGCTCCAGCTGGCCTGGAATTCACTATATATAACAGGTTGGCCTTTATCTCATAGAAATATGCCTGCTTCTGCCTCCCAAGTGCTGGGATTAAAGGTTCATGCCACTACGCCTGGCTAAAAAACTATTTTAAATTATCTTTCCATTTTTAAAGTAAGGCATTAAAGGAGTAGTTTCTATTGTATTAAAACTACATAGATTTAGAATACATATTACCACAGCAAGTTATAGCCACAGAAAGAGCTGAACTTGAAAAGCCTAGAAAAATAAGACAGTGATTTTTAATATAATACACTTTCAATATGTCAATGGAACTTGGAGACTTTTTTAAGTTTCTGAAACTTTTATTAATTGGCTGCCTTCAATTCATTGGTGTATTTGTTAGCTTTCTATTGCTGTGATAAAACAATGACCAAAAACAACTGGGTAAGCAAAGGGTTTATTTAGCTTATAGCTTAAGTCTGTCATCAAGGGAAGCCAAGGCAGGAACTCAAGGCAGGAACCTGGAGGCAGGAGCTGAAGCAGAGACCATGGAGGAATGCTGCTTACTGGCTTGCTCCTCTGGCCTGTGCTCAACCTGCTTTCTTATACAACTCAAGACCACCTGCCCAGGGGTGGTACCACCCACAGTAGGCTAGGCCTTCCTACATTATTCAAGAATTAAGAAAAAGTCTCAAATAGACATGCCCAAAGTCCAATCCGATAGAGAAAATTCCCAAATTGCAGTTTTCTCTTTCCATGTATGTCAAGTTAACATAGGAAGCAATCCAGCACAATAAGACACCGCCAGTCCCAACACCCATAGGAACCTGTTGACTAAATCTTTCAGGAAAAGCAAACTATGTTACAGCAAAATGAGCCACACAGAATGGGCTTGATGGTCAAAATATCAGGCAAAGGTTCTGACCACTATCTGACCTTTGTCCCTAGCCCCATCCCCAGAGCCTTCTGTCTACTGGGAACTATCTCTTACTGTAGCTATTTCTCCTACCACTGAACTACATTTCCAAATAACATGCCTAAATGTTATTTCTCAATTAACTTCAGACCTGTATTTGATGATGTCCTCCTATGGTAGGTGAGGGTGCAGTCTCACATACTTCCCTTCCTACCTGAGTCCCTCACTAATCCCTTTCTCCCTATACCTGCCAATCTATGGTAAAATATACCATATACTAAACTCATAAAATATACCAGTACACTAAACTCATAAAGTAATGCTCAATTCCAGAGTTTTTCAAAAACTCTTAGAGACATCTTTCTTTATGCCCACTGTCCTCCTGACAGTCTGTATGGCTAGTGCGGAGACCAGAGGCACAGCTGTTATCCTGCGGCTCCCCTTCAGGGTCCTCCTGCTAGATTTGGATTATCCAAATATTTCATTAGATTCCTAGTTTAACAAATTAAATAGGAAATTCCTATTATTTTCAAGGTTGCTGCTTTCATCAAAAGTATATACAACATCTTTCTACAGCAACGGAAATATATCAATGTTATTTTAGTGGATATAATTCCATTTTGCAACATTACAATTTATTCAGCTAATACCTCATCACTAGACCTTTAAATTGTTCTATTCTGTCCTTATCAAAACTCCTTCATGATGATGGATGATACATCCTTAATTACATCCTTAAGTCTGTCATACTTTTAGATGTGGAAATAACCAAATGGCTTTCTGATACTTATCTGAGCAACTTGCTATACAAAATAATGTCCTTGTGTTAAAATACACAAACACACACAGATCCTATTAAATTTTACTCATCAATCTGGTAATTCTGATTTGAATAGCCCTGTACCTTAGTCTCTTACTAACAGACAGAATTGTGAATTGGCTATGCAAAATGATTTATCCAAGAACCTGGGTAACTTCCTTAATATGCCCAGGCCTACTTACAGAGCACACCCACGTTTCAATACTCACCTGCTTATCACCATAGCTGTGATGACGGGCTCCCAGCCTGAGTGGAGAACTGTCCTTGTAGCTGGATGCTTGGCAGCTATTATAATCCAGATAGGAGTCAGAGCCAAAAAAAAGGCACAAACTAATGGAGAGATGTAGTAATATGTCTCTAAAATAAAGAAAAAGAGACCTCTTAATCCTGCTCTCCAACTAGGAAATCTAAACTTTCAAGAATACCATTTTACCAGAGATATATTACCAAGCATACTAATATGCCCTGCATTAACTTAAAATTTAAAACTGTAAATAAAAGTTAAAATAAAATTAGTGCCAGATGTGATGACCCATTCCTACCTAATCTCAGCACTCAGAAGGCTAAGGCAGAAGAATCACAAGTTTAAGGCCAGCCTGGGCTACAGAGCATACTCCAGGCCAGCTGTGCTACATAGCAAGACAGTCTTTCAAAATATTAAATACTATAAATGAAAGGAAATGCATTAATTCAACAAATATTTATTATGAAGCAGCAATGTGGGCCACATGAGAGAGAAGGGCAGTAATAACAGGATCGATAATAAGAGCAACCTTGGAAGGCTAGCATTTGACAGATCACTAAGGCCTTGTACTGTTCTGTGGCAGATGTCTCCCTCGGTCGCAATTATTCATTCTGTCCCTATTCACTTTCTCATAGGGAGAAAAACTCAGTGCCTACTGACTTCAGGCTTGGCTTATGTCTTTTTTCATGAACATGTTTTATGTCATTTCTAAACAAAATTTTATATCAACTCTCAGAAACAGCTGTGTGTGTGTGTGTGTGTGTGTGTGTGTGTGTGTGTGTATTATTTTCGACATCAGACTTACTGTAAGACCATGGCCCCTGACACAAGGAGAGAAATGAAGGCCTCCAGTGGCCCTAGCATTCTGCCTAAAGGCACATCTAGACCACAGCTCAGGAAGGGAGATGCTGGCAGAGTGTGGCTGAGGCAACATGAATTCACAGGACAGAACAGGAGAGAAGAGGAAGCCCACAGAGAAAGAGCTTGGGAACTGAACATGCACACACAGGGAGAACTTCACGTGGATGGCCAATAAAAACCTCCAGAGCCTGCAAGGGCCTGGAATCACTCAAGACCCAACCCACTAGAGAGGAGAGGCCTCTTTAAACCTAATAGCCACCATCGGAGACCAGAAAATTATCACATCTTTTTTTTAATTTTTAAAAATTTATTTATTTTTATTTTCTGTGTATGAGTGTTATTCCTGCATGGGTGCAGGTGCACCTGTGTTGTGTAGTGCCCATGGAGGACAGAAGAGGGTGTTGGATCCCCTAGAACTGGAGTTACCAGATGGTTGTTAGCTGCCACCATGAGGGTGCTGAGAGTTGAGCCAGGGTCTTCTGCAAGAAGAACCAGTGCTTTTTTTTTTCAGTCTTTATGAGACAGGGTCTCCCTGTAGCCCCAGCTGGCCTGGAACTCATTATGTAGACCAGGCAGGCCTTGAACTTACAGATCCACCTGCCTCTGCCTCCCGAGGGCTAGGATCAAAGGCATGCACCACCACACCCAGTGAAAGATCACATCTTAGTAGCAGTATGGCTGGCCCTAGCACAAAGTCTACTCTAGCTCTTCTCCAATGTACCCTACAAGTGAACCAACAATTTTCAAGTCCAACATGTATGGAAACAAAGCAAATATACACTGAACAACATTGTACTTACAATGTATAGCATCCAGCCAAAATGTGAGCTTGAAATACTTAACCCCATTGAAGATCTCTACAACATCTACTTTAGATAGTTAACTTTTCTCAAAAAATTTTAATTGCTTAAAGTAATCTTTACAAAACTAGTAAATTAAATGCATAGATGACTTACTGGGTTTGGTGATGTACAAGTTCAAGGCCAGTCTGGGCCACAGAAGGAGACTATGTCTCAAAAAACCAACAAAACTAAAAAGAAGTTGGGTATAATGAGAAGGCTCAATAGGTAAAGGCACTTGACACCAAACCTGAGTTCGAGTCCCAGAACCCACATGGTAGAAAGAGAGGTTGACTCCTATAAGCAGTTCTCTGGCTTTCACATATGTACTATGGCATGCACACCTACATACACACACACACACACAGAGATAAATGCAAAAAACAATTTTAGGGTGACATAAGCTTTTGTAAATATTAATATAATACATACAAATTTAATCACTATTTAACAATCCAAGAGAAAGTCATTTATTTAATTATAAATGTTAAAAACGGAATGAGAAAGTTGATTATGTTGTTACTCTAATGGGCTAAGCTACAAGTATGTAAAACACATGTGTACTGCCTCTTTAGCATAAACTATAATATGAGCTTAAGTCACAAACGTATTACACTTAATATTTCCCTAAATTTAGAAGTTGAATACCTTTTATTTCAACCATTATATTATCCCAAGATTTATAAATATAGTTTTAGTTAATCAAATTTTTATCATTAAGATTTCAGCCAAGATATTTCTTGGCTCTTCTTTTAAAATTTTTATTTATTATTTTATGTGTATGAGTATTTTGCCTGCATGTATGTAAGTACACCTGTGCATGCAATGCCCATGGAGGCCAGGAGAGGGTGTCAGTTTCCCTGTAACTGGAGTTAAAGATGGTTGTTAGGCACCATGTGGGTGCTGGGAACTGAAACCCGTTTGCAAGAGCAGCCAGTGCTCTTAACCACTGAACCATCTCTCCAGCCCCTTCTGGAGTCTTCTTAATAACACGAATACTTAGTGTCTTAGTACAGAATTCATTACTTAAAGACAGAGTTGATCTCATAATCCTTGTAGCCTACATAGCCTTAGATTTATTTTGTTCTGTTTTTTTGAAACAGGGTCTCATGTAACCCAGGCTGGCCTCAAATTACTATGTAGCTGAGGATGATCTTGAACTCCTGATCCTCCTGGCTCCACCTCCTAAGTGCTGGGATTTTAGACACATGCCAGCATACCCATCTGGATTCAAATGAAATGTTGCTTAATTTTTCTATTACCTAACAGAATTTTGCAACCTTTACCAATCTTTGATTTGATTTTATATTTATTTTCTTTTATTTAATTAATTTTTATTGTATGCATATGAGTGTTTGCCTGCATGTATGTACTGTACCCATGCATTCAATGTCCAGAGGATGTCAGAAGAGAGCACTGGATCCCCTGGAACTGGAATTATGGATGGTTGTTAGCTGCCATGTAGGTGCTGGGAACTGAACCAGGGTCCTCTGTAAGAGCAGCCAATGCTCTTAACCACTGAACCACCTCTCCAGTTCCTAGATTTCATATTTCTTTAAGTTTCTTAAGATAGTTAAAGATTCCACTATGATGAAAAATGTTTATATTTAGATAAAACTTAAATTTTTCAAAAAAAAGCAAAATTCTTTAGGTGGGAATAAGCAACTATTATAGGCATTAAAATACTAGATAAGAACATGTAATTTCCATGGCTCTATTTGGATTTGCCATCACATACCAAAAATAATTATGCTAAAAATATTTAGTTTTACATTTCATTTTCTTCTTACTCTAAAAGCATATGATTAGGGCTGGAGAGACAGCTCAGCAGTTAAGAGCTCTTGTTGTGGGGCCGGAGAGATGACTCAGTGATTAAGAGCACTGACCGCTCTTCTAGAGAACCCAAATTCAGTTCCCAATACCCATATAGAGACTAGCAATCATCTGTAACTCCAGTTCCAGGGGATTCAATGCCCTCTTCTGGACTCTGTAGGTTGGGACACATTTGGTCCACTTACATACACACAGGCAAAACACTCATACACATAAAACAAAAATAAATAAAAAAAAACATTTTAAAGAGCTCTTGTTGATCTTCTGTAAGACCCAAGTTCAGTTCCCAGCATCCATGTCTGGTAGCTCATAACCTCCTATGACTCTTAACTCCAGAGGATGCCCTCTTCTGCACACATAGCAGATACACATGTGCACGTGCACACACACACACACACACACACACACACTCAATCAATCAAGGGCTTAATTAATCTGGCACACACTGATCCTAAAAAATGCAAAAAATAAAAAGACACTTGACATATTCGAATTAGAGCCAAACCTTTGCCCTTAGAGTAAATGCTCTGTCAGTCAGACAAAATCTCCTCTTTTCTCGTTTATTCAACCAAAGATCAGAAACACAAAACATTCATGGTTCCAGACCCCTCACGTAGAAGCATCCTTGGGCATATCACTTGGCATCTGACTTTCTGTGTTCTCAGCTATAAAGTATTCAGATAAATAGTGCACACTACCCTGAGTTGTGAGGATTAAACGACTTAACATTTTATAAGGTGTTTAGGACAGTGACTGGTATATACTGGGTGCTCACTATGTGAAAATCATTATTTTAAAATCCCTCACAAGAAAGGAGAACGCTTATCTGGTGGTGTGCCAACTGGTATAGCCACTATGGAAATCAAGTGTGACAGCTCCTTAA